GAAATCAATGTGAGTCAACTCCCTGTATAGCTATCCTTATCTCAACCAGCAAAAACCCTTGGTCCTTCCTATTATTGCTTATACTCTCTCTACAAAAAATTAGAGATAAGGGCAAAATAGTTTCTGCTGGGTAATGAGGGGGTTGGGGGGAGAGGAAGGGGGCGGGGGGAGGGGGTAAGGGAAGGGGTGAGGGAAAGGGGGAGAAATGACCCAAACATTGTATGCACATGTGAATAAAAAAAAAAATTAAAATGCTTCACTGAAATAGGAGTCTTGGCTGCAGTTGAATTGTCTATGGAAATATAAACTATTAACTCTAAACGGGGTTGCAAGCTATGCTCATGGACCAGTTCTGGTTCACTGTCTGTTTTTATATGTCCCATGAGCTAAAGATGGCTTTTATATTTTTAAATGGTGAAAAAGAAGTAAAAAAACCATATTTTATAAAATGTGAAATTATATAAAATTGAAATTTCATTGTCCTTAGTTTTATTGGAACAGAGCTATGCTTATTAACTTACATATTGTGTATGGTGCTTTCAGTCTATATGGCAAACTTGGGTAGTGAGAGCAAATGTAAGCCTACAAAACATAATGTGTACTATCTGGCACATTACAGGAAACATTTTCTGACAAGTTTTGTGTGACTTATTTTAATAGTAAATAGCAGTTTCTAACTACGAAATCTAATAAATACTGGAAATGAATTACTAAGAAGACACTCTATACTGGTAGAACTTCTTTTGTTTGGGAATGAGCTATCTTACCCTCATCTGTACAATGTTTCCCAGGTATTTTTTTAAAATAGGAAAAAGAACACAAAACCTATTTCATGCCTACAGCATGGGTGCATTAGACTCCATATCCCAGCTATTCTTTTTTTAAAAAGCATGCTGTTGAAATCTTCAAAAGTATACAGAAGTGGGAAGAATAGTATAAAAATGACACGTACCCATCAACAGTTGTATGGCCAGTTTTTTTCCATCCATATCTCCCCAGTTTCCCTACCCACTTCCCCTTGATTTATTTGTGTAAAACAAAACCCATGTCTGATACTTTAATTGAAAATATTTCAGTATGTATCTCGAACTTTAAAAAAAGCCCTAAGTGTGATGCTGCCCTCACTATATCTAAACCATTTAATATTAGTTCCTTAATATCAATTCAGCTTTCTCCATCTCATTATTTATTATGCTTTTTTGGATAAGCATGCATTGTATTGCATTTGGTTGACACATCCATAGGTCCCCTTATTCCTTTTTTTGTTTCCTCCCTCATTACTTGTTGAAGAAACCCAAGTTAATTTGCCTATAGCTTTCTGCAGTCTGGATTTTCCTGATTATATCCTTGTGAAGTCATTTAACTTGTTCCTTTTAGTTCGATTTAAAAACTTGATTATATTTGAATATATTTATATTTTCCCCTCCAAAGTTGTATTCCTCCTGTGGTATCACTCAGGAGGTTCATAATTCCGGGTTATCTGTTGTGGTGTTAACTTTGATCAGTTAAGTAATGAAGGTGATGTCTACCTACCTGGTATCAGCTTCTTTCCTAATGGTTTTAGCAGCCACTGATGATTCCTGCCAGCCTTAGAGTCATTATTTCATTTGGGAGGTAAGCAATGGTAATTTTTTTTTTTTTTGTGGTACTGGGGTTTGAACTCAGGGCCTACACCTTGAGTGTAGTACACCTACTCTACCAGCAATTATTTTTTGTTATGGTTTTATTTGAGATAGGGTCTCGTGAACTATTTGCTGGGGCTGGCTTCAAACCGCAGTCCTCCTGATCTCTTGCCTCCTGAGTAGCTAGGATTATAGTTGTGGGCAACCAGTGTCTGGCCAACAATGGTAATTTTTAATTCTACCACTCCTTTTTATATTAGCATATACTTTTCTATAAAGAAAAACTTTTCCCTTATTAACTTTTTGCAGGATAAAAATGCTTAGTTCTTCTCTTTTCTTTACCATTTTCAGAGATGGTTTTCTAGCATTATCCAAAACTGTTCAATAAGTCTTTTTGTTTTTCTCAAGTCTCATCATAATCCTATGGATTTCTGACACATTTGATATATTTTAATACATTATTATAAATTTTTGTGCTGAAATACTCTCAACTTTGGTAGTGAGAGCCTCTTTCATTTGGCTTCTGAATCATTGTCTTTGATCCCATAGACTTTGACATCTCAAGTGCTAAATCTGATATAAACTATAAAATATTAGAGCATTGAGATCCTAATAATTGTTACCTTTTAACAAGGTATTTGCTATTAAAAACTTTAATTTGATAAATGATACTCTATAAAGCCCCATGGTTTTTGTATTTAAATAGTGATTATAAGTATATTTGATAGAATCATTAAAATAGCTAATCAAGAATAAACTTTGTTCCCAGATATAGAAATCGATGACAAACATAATGTTAGACATAATAAAATTCATAGCTATACAACCATCCATAGCTATTTAGCTAGTACATTTGGTTTATATTTTAGAATTTATTGTGAACAATTTATAGTTATGCCTTCACAGAATAAATTGTCTTTATTGGAGAATTTTTTCATGTTCACTTTTTTGTCATTGCTCTCTTTTTTTGCCAAGTGAGATGCTTTTATCATTAGCAATTTGGATATAAGTAAATCACAGGAATACTCTTTGCTCAGCTGCCATGAAGTTTAATACAGGGACATGTTTTCAGTTTTAATGAATCAAACATCTGCTTCTAGAAGAGCCCCAGGCTGTTGCTTTTGAGTAATGAGTATCTTCATTTTTCACTTTGTATTGTATTCTGCCAGCTTAATTCTACTACGATTGTGTCTATTTTGCCTTTTAATAGGAGCACGTAAAATGGGTTCATGCTGAATTGGTAAATAAAAACTCCGAGTTAAAGCTAATTTATGTGACTCCAGAGAAAATTGCAAAAAGCAAAATGTTTATGTCAAGACTAGAGAAAGCCTATGAAGCAAGGAGATTTACCCGAATTGCTGTGGATGAAGTCCACTGCTGTAGTCAGTGGGGACATGATTTCAGACCTGGTATGTATATCTGGAAAACTCTTTGATGTCAGTAATGAAGTCCTCACTCAGCCTGACATGATGGAAATCCCTATCCATTAAAATTCACCTCTCACATAGTTATTACTCATTTTCTCTTGCCTTGATTCAAGGGAGGCCATGGAAGTACTAATGTATCCTTTGAGATATGTTCTCTAGCCAGTATTACTTATCTCGGTGACATTTATGACTTCTCTATCCTTCACATGTTGAGGAACTTGCATGTGCTTCAGAGTTGTCTTGTCATCTTTCTGGGTGTCTCGAGCATCCCTCCCAACCCCTTACTGTTAAAGTTTGATGAGATATATGAGTAATGCTTTTCTTCACTAGCCTAATTCCATAGTCATAGCCTGAAGGAAGTTACTCAGAATTGTTCCATCAAAAAAAATCTTAAATTAAAAAATCCTACTCCCTGGTGCCACTCTTTTTTCTTCTGAGGCTTTTTAGGGACCTCCTGGGTCCCTCTTTTAATCCCTGCATATTTGTCTATGCATCCCATCCTCACAGAAGAGTCATTTTTTTCCCATGCCACAAGCTTCTGTTAGTCTGGTCCCTCCACCAACCTCTTTCGACCCTGAGCCAAACTGAGATGCAGGCTCCATCCAGATTTGTGCTCTCCTTGTTCCTGCTGTTTGTCTGCTAAATATTGCCAGGAAAAATATAACTGCATTAATTTTCACCTTGGTTCAGCTTTTCATCATGCTCAGTTATTCTTTACTTGTCCTTATGTCAGCTCCTTTATACATTCCTTATAACAAGCTTTTCAAATCATTAACTTCATCTTCAGGGCCTAACTTTTATTTTTCTCTAAGACAGGGCTTGTCATGTGTCCCAGGCTGCCCCTGAACTCCTGATCCTCCTGCCTCAGACTCCTGTGTGGTGCATTACCACACTGGGCTCTTTTTCAGTAAGTGACCTGATCATTGTTCACTTGAGATTATTACCTTTGTTTGTATTATGATGACTCACATTGACCCATGGATCTGCTGCCACATGGTAATAAATATTCCCATATCTAATGATCCTACTTCCATATTTCACATTTATGTTACTGATTGTTTACTAGAAATGCATATATAAATTAGATGACCAAAACTAAATTCCTGCTAGAATTGGTCTTTTTTCTATATATATATATATATATTTTTTTTTTTTGGTGGCACTAGGGATTGAATCAGGGCCTCCAGCTAGCTAGGCAAATGCTGTACTGTTTGAGCCATATCCCAGTCCTTTGACTTTTAGTTTGTTTTTCATATAGGGTCTAAGCACTTTTGCTCTAGCTGGGTACTCATCCTCCTGTGCATTTTACTTCATCTCTGGGTTACTTATCATGTCTAATGCAATGTAAATGCTATGTAAATAGTTGTTAGGCTGTATTGTTTAGGGAATAATGGTAAGAGGAAAATCTGTACATGTTCAGTATAGATGGAATTTTTTTTCCAAATATTTTGATCTGCAGTTGACTGACTCAGTGGATGGGAAACTTGAGAATATGGAGGGCTGACTATATCCATATTCATTCAGCATATAGTTGGGGCATAGAAGACAAACCATTTCAGTTATTTGAACACAGAATTTTATTTTATTTTATTTTATTTTATT